TAAAACGCTTAGTCGTCTTTCGATGACATTCCTCCGGGACGTCGCGAGTCGACGTTCCCAGCGGAGATCGGGATCTCCGACAGAAATAGGGGATATTGAAGAGGATATTCAAATTCCAAGATCCGATCTCCGCTGGGAACGTGGACTCTCGACGTCCCGCTGGAATGTCATCGAAAGATGACTAAGCGTTTTATTTATTTTATTTTATTTTTAGGGTTTCATCATTTGGGATGGGGGTGGGGGGACAGGGCGATATAATAGCCTTTACCATTAAAAGAAAGCAGGGAAGTCTTCCTATATAGTAAAAGGACCCGCTGGAATGGCTCGTGGTATTATGAAGATGAAATAAAGCCCATGATGACGAATAATAGTGCAACTACCAAATGCATCACTGACGAGAAATAAAATGGTATGCCCAAAGATGATTTTGAAATTTATTCGATGACTGAAACTGACATTATTTGTGTGCTCTTAGATCATTCAAACAGTACGATGACAAAATCATTCATTTCCGTTTGGCTGTCAAAAACTACAATAGTCTCAGCGATAGACGGCTCAAGCCCTTATACATATTCTCAGTTTTATGAAGATTAGCAGCAAAAATTGCTTTTTTTTAATAATAATGCCAGTCAGAGTTATTAAAGAATAAAAATCGGATTTTGAGAAAATAAGGGCTTTGCGAACTGAAGAAACTTGCTGCAGTGAAATTGAATAAGAGATAGAAAAAACAGCCGGCGAGTAATTTTGCGCAGTCGTGCGATTGTATCCGCAGAAACAAAATGATTCGCACAAAATTTGGATTATACAAATATCTGCGTATTCCCCCGTAATTTACCCAGATTTTGCTCATAAAGTACGTATTTTCATTTGGTAAATTGCTGGTAATACATGAAAAATTTTAGAGTAATTAAAAATCTGAAGGTCCAAATCGAACACTAAACAACTAATAGAGCATTCAGAAATCCATGCTAGTGAAACGGCACTCTAGTAAATTACTGAGTTCACGGAGGACATTGATGGTTTTCAACGGTTTGCTACGTGTTTTTCGGACTGCCTGGATCGTCAGCTTGGAGACTTTGATGAGGAAAGGAAAGGCAGCTACAAGCTTAGCATCTCACAGTCGGGGCGCCTTTTTAGAGATGATTGTGGGCCGGCAAAGAGCCGAACCACTCGTTTTTATGCGTTTTTTGTAGCAATGCAATGCGAAAAACGCATATTGACGAGAAGTTGTCTGTGAGTCCGTGTATCTGTGTGTCTGTGTGTCTGTGCATCTGTGTGTCTGTGTGCCTGTGTGTGCGTCTGTCACTTACTTTCATCTTAGGACCTATAAAAGGTGCGGGGCTGAAATTTCGGGAACTTAATCTGCATGCACGTGCCGGCCCCAATCCCCAAAATGGGCGCCAAAACCCGCGTGGCACCCGCGTACGGGTCCACTAAAATTTTTTTTGGGCAAGTTCATAACTCGGGAATCTGAGAAGCTAGAAGGCCGAAATCTTGGGATAGTGTTCCTCGCCCAAGCGGGTATTAGTGGGCTCAAAACCAGCCCCCGGGTAAGCGTAGTACTCATATACGGGCCCGCCAAATTTTTTTTCGTGTAAATTGATAACTCAAGTACCTGAGAAGCTAAAGGAACGTAATTTTAAGAGGATATACTCCGTCCAACTAAGTTTCATTCAGCTCAAACCCAGCTCTCAGGTACGCTTGGTAGACACGCGCGGGCCCGTGAAAATTTTGTTCCAGTAAGTTGCTAACTCAGGTACCAGGGAAGCTAGAAAGCTGAA